CTGTGTTTGCTTTTAGAGATGCGCAGCGGCTCAGCTGTTACTATATTTGGAACTATTTTCGTTGATGCAATATATACAATAAGACAATAAGAATGTTTGCGGGAACGTGACACACACGTTGCGGGAGAGGGCGATAATGGTCAGAAATTCAGCGGGAGCGGGCTTAAGAAAACTGTCCCGCTCAGGTCTCTAGGCTGCGCGTCAACACACACGTTTTTTTTTTTTCGCGCTCCCCCATCTCCACCCCCAATCATTAGTGCCGCTTATTCGGTCTTTGACCGAAAACAAAATTTATTTCAAATTTAATTCAAGCACTTTCAAGGACCTATGTTTGTTTTCAAGTACTTTCCAGGCCTTGAATCCATATGTCTGAAATTCAAGTACTTTCAAGAAGCGTGGGAACCCTGTAATCAAAAATAAATGCCATCAACCACTGTTCAAAAGTATGGGGACAGTACTGCGTTTTGGAAAGCAATGAATACTTTTATTCAGAGGGATGCATTAAATAGATCAAAAGTAGTGAAGCAGTTTATAATGTTACAAAATATTTCTATTTCAAATAAATGCTGTACTTTTGAACTTTCTATTTATGGGAAAAATCCTGAAAAAAAAGTATCACAGCGTCCACAAAAATATTAAGCACCACAACTGTTTTCAACATTGATAATAATAGGAAATGATTCTTGAGCAGGAAATCAGCATAATAGAATGATGGAGTAATGATGCTGACAAATTCAGCCTGACATTATAGGAATAAATTACATTTTAACATTTATTTTAAATTGTAATATGTCTTATATATTATTGTATTAATTGCATTTTTACCATATGCAGCCATGGCGAACACATGTATAGTACCAATAAAAATTGTTGCAGGTGATTATATTACCTAATATTTGTGTGATGCATTTTCATACTAGAATTTCATGCTATTAGCAACAACATGCTAACTCAAACTGTTAAAAATCAGGTATGAATTCTGTGTGCTTTGCGTGTTGCAGTCTTTGTAATTGGTCACTTATGAGATTCTAATTCAGTTAGGATGCTTCCTTAGCAGGCAGCTGCCTATGTAGACAATAAACAGCAAGGCAGCTCAGTAGGTTTTGGAGCTATTGTTTCCTTAGGCATAATATTTTGTTCCTGTAATAAGTATACTGTAATTTGCTATGGATAAAAACATTCAGTTTTACGATTTGATAAAGACATTCAAATTTGCTAAGGACTATGAATGCGGACCAGATGGTCTGCTTGGTGATTGTTGTTTTAGCTGGATGTTTACTTACACTGGCCTGCAGATGACCAGGTCACCTTTATTGGTTCCGTAGGCCAATCCCATGCCTGGCTCTGGAAGCCACCGGGCCGAGTTAATACTGACGTGTCTCCTCTGGTCTGGAGCCATGGGGTACACGACATTAAACATCATCTGCAGGATGCCAAGAGAAAGCAGATCATCAAACACAGAAAACAGAAAAACAAAGGTTTAGTCAGTACTGTCTCACTTTTTATAGCTTATTAGCTTTGGTGGGTCTATGAAAAAAACTCACCATAAATACCAGTTTGTGTAGTAAAATAAGTAATATTTTACATTACTGCAGACATCTTTGATTTATTAAAAAAAAAAAGGAGTGGCATTTTCAAACTCTTACTCTAATGGAGGTCTCTCCTCCGTGTGGCTGCTGTAGACGAAACACTTGCGCCACCATGTGGTCGGTGGTGGGATGGAGCAGGATCCGTCTGGAGGCCAGTCCCACCATCACATAGCAGCCCAAGGGTGAAAGACTCACCGAGATCGCGTTTGGACCTGAAATGCAGGTTAAAAACAAATCTCAAAGAAGAATTTTTGCTAAAAAGTAAAAAAAAACAAAAAAAAACATGAATGCTCAGGAATGGTCAGAGTGTTACTGCCAAAATGAGCTGCTGAGTTACTGTTCGACAACACTGACCAAATCTCTTGGTGTACAGCATTTCTCCCAGGTTATGGGGAGCGAGGGAGTACACGGCTAGGATGCCCTCATCCGCAAAACCCCGCTGGCTGCTGGGAATGAACACGGCCAGCAGCTGCCCGTCTGCTGAAATATCACAGCTGGCATCGTTGTAGATCTTACAGTGAGGAACGAGCACATTCACAGTGGCTAAAACGAAAACAAGAAAAAAATTTTTTTTTCAATAAGATTAACAAACATTTTGTAGCTTCTGAAGAAGTTAAACAAGTGAAACAAGCTACCTATATTCCGATAATGTCATGCTGATTATGTGTGCAAAAACAAAAAAACAACAGTACTCAGAAGAATGTAGTACCATTACTGATCTCTGGAAGGTCAAACTTGGTGAAATCCCACCACTGCAGCCTATAGGTGGTATTGGCAATGTTACTGGCCACAGCTGATTGCCCATCACCTATAGATGCGCCTGCAACAGAGCATTATGGGTAGATCTATTTAATTCTCTTCAGTTTGTTCAAATTCACTATTCTTGTGTTTCTGACATTATGGGATAAAAATGATTGAAAGTGCTTCGTAAATTGAACAAAATAAGAAAGACGTGAAACGAAATGACAAGAAATAGAAAAACTGCTAGTTGTACCTGCTAATACTCTGTTAATGGAAGAGTGAGTGGCCAGGCCTGACTGACCCCTTTCATGGAAGAGTCCAGCGTAAGGCAAGTACTCTGGTAACAGGAACCTCCTTCAGACAAAAATACATATCAAGACCATATACATTAATAAAACATAACATACATTATTAGTAGGGATGTTCATTTCAGTTATTTTTCCTAACCGACAATCGACGCTCGTTAACCGATTATTAACCGTTAAATGACAAGATTATTTTAAATTAGAAAAGAATTAAATTAGAAAGGATAAGTGTCTGTGACCCGTTAAAAATACTAACATTTGTTTCCCAGGGATTAATTTTACATGCGCAAAAAGCAGCAAACAACAGAACATGAGGATTCACATTGTCTTCATATCACATCACATCACGCACCTGCAGCACTTCTACGAGAAAAACATAATAAAGCTA